GGGGGGGGGGGGGGGGGCTTTGAAATCCTGTTTGAAAAAGGAACCGTGCTCAGGATGAAGACAAAGGGATTTAGGTTCTGGAATGGCCCGTGCCACTCAGTTGGTGTTATCAAAGCCCACGTGGAGTCCTTAGGAGATTTTTGGCATGCCCTGGGGTTTCTCCTTCAAGAAGTCAGCTTTGACCCTTTGATGGGGCAGGATTTTAAGCACCTGTAATTCTGCCAACCTTTGGGCGGTGCGAGAAAGGGGAAGAACAGGTCTAGACTTTTTAATAATAAAAGTAATAATAATAATAAAAACAAAAACCACCTTGGTGGCATACTTAAAGGAAGATTGTAACGTTCAGCCACGTTTCACAGCATCTGCTCACCTGGAGGGAGCTGTGAACCACATCCTCCAGCCTCTCTCTTTCATTAAATAGGCGGGCTCCAGCCCTGCTCTTATCCTCTCGGCGGTCTCCGAGGCACAGTCGGCGCACGGATAAAAACAGGAGTCATCCTACTGCAGCTCTGAGCCCTGCAAAGATGGGTTTGAGCTGGGTAATTTTCTCTGTGTTGGCCCTGCTGTTGGCGGGCACCGTATCATTAGCCCCAGGAGAGGTGGTGGGGTGAAGCTGTAAGCCTCGTTAGGAGACTTGGTGGGACGTGCATGTTGATGGAAAAAAAAAAGCCCGTTTCTCCTGGCTTTATGTACTGCTTTTGTTCCCAGAGGTGGTAAGGGTGGATCTCAGCTATTTCCCAGGAATTCCGGGTGCTCGGCTCTTAAATCAGGCTACAGGGGTCTGATAACTGGGCGCTGTAGGTGACTGGAGGGGGGTGTGTGGTGGTTTCTGGGTCTCATCTGGCATATCCTTTCTGGAGATCCAAGCCTGGTGGTCTGCGCTTTGGGAGGGATCAGTTCCTGGGCTTTTCCACCCCGTTTTCTGGGTTGTTGATTTGGTCAAGCACCATCATGGATTTTCTCTCTTCGTTCTTTAGCGTGCTGAACCGCACCCCGGTGCACCTCGTCCATGAAATCATACTGGTGGATGACTTCAGTGATGACCGTAAGTGACCCTTTCTATGTTCAAAGCGAGGGGGCGAACTGAAAAGAGACTGGGATTTAGGCAGAGAAGGGGGAAGAGTTTGTCAAAAGTGAAAGGAAATTTCAAGCTCTGTAGGCGTGGAGAGCAAGCCTCGCTGTGCCAGGTTTGCATCACCGGGTGGAAAATTCAAATTCCAAATGATCAAACCTCTTCTTGTGAAAATAATACAAGAGAAGTGCGTAGCAAATCGTTTTTACGCCCAGCAGACGTGAATCCAATCCCTACCTGCCTGTATCCTCCTGCAGCCACCATGTGTTTGATCTGGCTTTCGGCTGCAGCCGGGAGCAATCCTGGGTTGACGCCACTGGAATTGCACAGGATACTCATAGCCTGACCCTCCTAATGTGTTCTGCATTAATAATATGCATATGTTCTGCATACGTTTATGTAAGTGGCCAGACGCTCTTGACTGATTTTTTTTTTCCCCACCCGTGTAAAGAGGATTTCTCACGTGGCTTGTCTGTTTCTGAGATGCACCGTCAAAAAATAGTGCTGTACATCACAGACAGCCCACGTTCTCCTGCCCTTCTCTCCCAGTTAATAGTGAAATCAATAGGTCCAATCTTCCAGCAGAAGTTGGTATCTGAAGCCCCGGGGGCTCCCAGGGAGCTACCCCAGCTAAAGACCTTGGCTGGTGGGATGGACGAGTGGAAGATCCAGGGGCTGAGAGTTAAGCCCTCAAAAAATCCACCTCGGGAATAAAAAGGCTGATAAAACTCACCTAGGCTGAGCGGTCCATGGCACTTCACATTTCAAGGAGCTGCAAGATGTAGCCATTTGCCAGGAAACGTGAAAACAAAGCCAGAGAGGATTTTAAAAAATGGGTCTACGCTTTGCTCTTGAACTTTATAAATAGGCAATGCCTCCGGGAGCGTTAGGGACAGATTTCACATGAGACCCACTCTCTGGGGAGTCTCTGAAACCAGGGGAAAGGGGCTGCAGTGATTCCAGTGAGCTTTGGAGCAACTCCAGTGCATGGAGGTGCCAGGCTGGGCAAGGTGCAAGGACTTCAAGCTGCCCTGGAGTACAGCAGAGCAGGTTTTTTGAAGGGTGGAGGAAGTAAATGCCAGGTATCTGGCCAAATAGACAAAGTGCTTGCCTTCTTGAAAGGAGAAAGGTTTGTAGAAAGGCATCTCCTCTGTCACAGAGTGACCAGGGCTGGGTTTAAGCTCATCCCAGAGCACCCGGGGGGAAGCCTGTTTCTCCAAGAAACTTAGACCAGCCCATCTGCTACTCAGAACCGGTGCTGCTCGGCTGTCTTACATCTCCTTTCCTGTGATAGCCCGAGCCTGCTGGCATCTATTCTGCATGCATTTACATAAAATGCATGCATTTGCATAATACGCTGTACACACATGGTCAGTTCTCTCCCTGCAACCCACCCCAAGCAATCGGTGCTTTTATCTCCTGCCCGGTTGTGTCTTGTTTCCCACTTCTCTTTGCCCGCTGACTTTTTATTCCCTGGGATGCAGTTGTTCTGCGGGTGGGTTCCCCGCTCTTCCCAGCAAATCTCTGTCTTCCACAGCCAACCCCTGCCACTTCTGCCCCCCCTCCCCCCTGCAGTGTGCTAGGTCTCGACCCAAATTGTTAGGGATTTGGGTACAGCGATGCCTCGTGTTGGGCCCCTCACTACAGGAAAGACATTGAAGTGCTGGAGCGTATCCAGAGGAGAGCCACCAAGCTGGTGAGGGGTCTGGAGAACAAGTCCTATGAGGAGAGGCTGAGGGAACTGGGCATGTTTAGTTTGGAGAAGAGGAGGCTGAGGGGAGACCTCATTGCCCTCTACAACTACCTGAAAGGAGGGTGTAGAGAGGTGAGGATTGGCCTCCTCCCAAAGGAATAATGACAGGACCAGAGGCAATGGTATGAAGCTGCAACAGGGGAGATTCAGATTAGATATTAGGAAGAATTACTTTCCTGAGAGAGTGGTCAGGCACTGGAACAGCCTGCCCAGGGAGGTGGTGGAGTCACCATCCCTGGAGGTATTTAAGAAATGTGTAGACATGGCTCTTCAGGGCATGCTCTAGTGCCCAAGATTATTGGTTTGTGGTGGAGTGTAGTGTGTGGGGTTTAGTTGGTGGGTGGTGGTTTTGGGTTTGTTGTTTTTGTGGTGGTTGTGTTGTTTTTTGGTTTTTTTGGGTTTTTTTTGTTTGGTTTGGTTTTTTTGTTGGTTTGTGGGTTTTTTTGTGGTTGGACTCGATGATCTCGGAGGTCCCTTCCAACCACTAAGATTCTGTGATTCTGTGTTGACAAAGATTTCTGGAGGAGATGAAAGCACTTGGGGGGGCGCTGTGGGCACAGGGGGTGGGTGGAGGGGATGGGGGTGCCGAGGAAGAAGAGGCAGGGGGATGAAGGGGTTGCAGAGGCAGGGAAGGCTGTGCTGGGTGAACCTGCATCCCGACCCAGCTCTGGCTGGGAGAAATCCGGGTAAGGAGGGGTGCTGGAGGTGCAGGCAGCACTGGGGCAAGAGCAGTGGTTGTGGGGCCTCTCTGCCCCACGGAGCTGCTGCTGCCCGGGCCATGAGGAGCCCCGAGCTGCTCCACGGGGCTCTCTGACCATCGCTTTCTCCTCGCTGGGGGCTCAGGAGGCTCCTGCCCCACCACGCTAGACGTGCGTCGAGCAGCGTTCTGTGTTGCTTTGCAGCTACTAAAAATAGTAATTTGCATTAATGTGCAAAAACTCCCCGCTCTGCCCCCAACCACGGCTCCTCTATGCTGACTTTACAGCACAGCGCAGCTGTTCTCGGCGTAAATCTGCTGGGTTTACACGAGTTTTATGAAAACTGCTGCTCTGCCAGTCCTGGTTTGTGCTGCACGACCTGGGGGCTGAGGTTGGTGTCCCCCAGCAGTGCCATCACCCAGCCCTTGGTGGGGTCCCCTCTCTGCTCCCGATTTCCCCCGGGACCGTTTCTGCTGCTGGAGCCACCACTGGGAGGGCTGAGGTTGACGTGTCCTCCCTCTTGTGTTTCCCAAGCCGATGACTGCCGCTTGTTGGGCAAACTCCCCAAGGTGAAGTGCTTGAGGAACGGACGTCGAGAAGGTAAGAGGTCCATGACCTGGGTGGGAAACCCAGGTTTGGGAAGGTGTGAGAGCGATGGAGTCGGTGGGGGAGCTTCAGTGGAGCAGGGCAAAGAAGGGAGGTCAGCGGCTCCTGGGGATGGGGCCCCTGATAAAAGGAGATGGGATAAAGGCCTGGGATTTGAAATGGATCCCTCCTCTCTGGCTGGAAGAAGATGGGACTATTAAGATATCCAATGAGGCTCAGCTGTAGCTTATTAGCCAGAAAATTAGAACAGGCAAAACGAAGCCCCGGGTCTTATTTTTAAAGATGTTTGCTCTAATGAAAGAGAGAAGATCTGCTCCTGCTGTTTCTGTGGCATTTTTTTTTTTTTTTAATTAATTAATTATATTTGAATGATTAAGAAGGGCTGTGTGGAGGATGCCTGTATGTCCTACTGGGCTGCTGCTGGCAACCTTCTGAGACGTTTTGCAGCTCCCTGTAGCCTGAATGGGTGTTTTCAAGTCCTGCTCTGCAGTAAGAGGAAAACAAAAAACAAAAGAAGTTTTTTTCAGGCTGAAAATCGAAGGCACGAGTCCAGGTGGGTATCAGGTTGTGGAGACTGTGGAGCAGAGAGGGTTTGTCCATGGATTCTTTCTGCAGAGGGTTTCAGCTCTGCAGGTCTGGTGTCAGGGTGGCACCGGTGGGTTTAAGAGACACATCTGTGTTGGCAGGAAGGTAGGGGAGGTCTCCATAGATCCACACCTCCTTCTCACGCATCTCTCCTGTGTTATTGGGTGTGCTCACCCCTAGCACTGGATGGACCTGGAGGTCTTGGTACCCTATAAAGCAGTGGAGAGTTGGGAACCCAGCCTGGAGGGCTTACCTCACTGAACACATCACCAAAGCTGTGTTCCTTGGTACCTGCCAGGTTTTGGGGAGGGCTGGGGTGGATACTCCGGGCCAAGCCTACCCACAAGGTCTTACAATTTGCAGAGAGAGATATGGGGACATCTTGCATTGCAGGAGGTGACCTCAGCAAGTGCTGGATTGCTCCAGGCTTTATTCTCCTGTCCCTCTCCCTTCTGCTCAGAGGCTGTTCCTTGGCCTCTTTCCTCTAAGGAGTTTTAATATGAAATCAGTGACCTCCTCCTGCATGGACCTGATGTGTGGCCTGATGTGACCTGAAACCCTTCTGCCTCTCTTTAGCAGTTCCTGTCTCCCCCTGTATTACCACTGTTTCTCCTTCATCAAGAAATTCTGCTCCCCTTGAGCCACCTGCATGTCCTCCTGTTTTCCAGGAGGACTGTCTCCCGTCTTATGTTGCAGACCATCTCCTGTCTTACGTTGTGGTTCACTTGAGCACCAGCTGCAGGCAGGAGGGGTGTTGGAAGCCATTTGACTCCTGTCTAAATAGGCAGTTTCCCACAGAAAACCCACCCTCAGCTCCCCTGGCCCATTCCCCCCTGACTTACATCTACATTAGATTTATTACCTGCAGGGGTTTGTGAATGCATTTGGAGTCGTGTTTTGCCCCCAGAGGGTGACGGCAGAAATAATTGTGCAAATTAAGGACTGGCAGAAATGCCATAAATCATTAATCTTGGTGGAACTGTTTATTTGCTTTGGTGACCTTGGGAAAGAGTTGGAGTGCCTTGCAGCGCTGGGGAGGAGGCGAGGAACCTGAGCCATGTTTTATCCGAATGGGATTTAGATGGGTCAAACCCCAGGGAGATGTGTGAGTGCAGGACACCAGGCTGGAGGAGCCTGGTGGCATTGGCCAGCCCTCTGTGTGGCAGCTGATGTGGTGTGTCCCTGAACAGGTCTGATCCGATCCCGAATCCGAGGGGCAGATGTGGCACAAGCAGGAGTCCTGACCTTCCTCGACAGTCACTGTGAGGTGAATAAGGACTGGCTGCTCCCTCTGCTGCAGAGGATCAAAGAGGTGAGTGCTCCTGAGAGACCAGGGTTCCCCTATGGGGGATGCACTGCTGATGTCCATCTCCTCTTCCCTCTCAATGGGCATGACCACCCAACCCTAACACCCTGCATGCAGGCATCTGAGTAAGAGAGCGGTGAGTTTTTGGGGTGCAAAGGGACCTTTGCTGGTCTTCCCCCACCCAGCAGCCTGGTGGGGTCATCTCCATGACTGGGAGAGCATGTGGGTGGGTGGGACAAGGTGCCTCTGGGGGCAGTGGGGCTCTAACTGGCAAGCACAGGTTGAGCGGTGGAAGGGGAATACATGGGCAGTGCTCCAGCAGAGTTTTTAATTAGGCTCATGTAAAATGCTCCGTGCTGATGATTTAAGGGAGTGACGGCTCCTTGAATAGGGGCCGAATTTAATTTCATGCAAATTAAGCGCTAATAAATTGATTTAATAGGATTTAAATTCTGCTGATTTCGGAGCAGACAATGACATTCGCCTCTCGCCGGTGGCGACTCTCTCGCCAGACGTGCCCACGGAGGCTCCCGACACCTTGTCTCTGGAGTCGGGCAGCTCCGTGCTGGTGACCTGCTGCCACGGTGCAGGGGATGAAACCTTCACCTCCGACACGGACACGCGGTCCCTTCCCTTCGCTCCGCCTCGTGGCCCCATCCTTGCTCCACCTCTGGCTCCCGCTTGATAGTATTTATTACTTGGTAATTGAAAAACTACCGAGTTATGTTGAAATAAGGGCACCTGAGGAGCAAAGGGAAGTCGAGGTGGTGGCTCGAGGAGGAACCTGCTTGGCTGGTGTTCACAATGCAGGGTCTCCTGCTTCTCACACCTCCAGATGTGACAGCGGTGCCGGGCTGTGCATCCCTTGTGTGCAGCAGAGAAGGGACATGGGGAAGGGGGACACAGCACTGGGTCAGGTCTCTTTGCAGCTGGTGAGGGTGGTCGGTGCTGCTGGTCCCAACCTGGGCAACCACAGGCGATAAATGGTAATATAATGAAAATAGCCTTTTCAAGTAGAATTCTGAGAACGCGTGCTACAAAACCCCATTCAATCCTCATAGCTGGCCTGCCCCAGGGTGAGATTCGCCGCTGAACTTTACTGCATCAGTGGTTTCTCAGAGCTTTTTAAAGGTGGGCATTTGTCGTTCTCTGCCCAAAGCCCTGTGGTGTTTTGGTGAGAGGTGTCCAGAGCAATTATCTCTTTCCCAGGCAGAGCTTCTGGTGTGTTTTGGCAGCAGAAGGGCAGCGGTGGTGGCAGGAAAGAGGGCAGGTGGAGCTGCTTTCCCACATGTCTCCTGGACCATGTCCCACGTTCGGTGCCCGTGGGGTGGATGAACGTGAATGCCACCATAGGATTTTCACTGGATGTAGCCCATCAGTGGGCTGAATATAGTGTTGCACGCAAGCCTCACCTCTGGGAACTTCTTTTTATCTATTCTTCTGGGTTAAATCTTTCTCTCGTGGTTGGTGAGCTCGTGCTGCTGCTCCAGCTGCACTTACCCTGCCCAGTGTCTTGAAGGCATCAAGGGAGACCTTACAGTGAAGAGCGTTGAGGGACTTGCAAAGCATCTGAGGTCCCACTTGCTTTCTAAGTGCTCATAGAAGCTGCAGGATAAGGACCACAGGTCCTCTGTTTCCCTTTTCCCGGGCCCACCTTACCCATCCTTTCCACCAGGGTTAAGATATTGTTCAATGAAGTGTATGAAATGTTGCTGCTGCCACCTTCAGGCTGTGCCAAAGCGCCAGCTTTCCTGTCCTTTCCTTTTCCTTTACCCCTCGGAACGGCCTGCTTTGAGCTGCTGTGATTTAAGTTTTAAGCGAAGGAGCGGGCGAGTGCCCTGAAGCACACTGGGTGCTTTCACCACCACCACCAGCCACCCCATGTGTCGCTTCTCTCTTATTTTCTCATCCAGAGCAGCTATTTCTGCAGCTTTCCACTGTGGGAAATGCCGGAGCCCCCGTGTGCCACCATGCACCCAGGTGAAGGTGCCCCTCGAGCCCCATGTCAAGCTTTCCCAGCAGCTGGTGGCATCCCCACCCCAAGGCCCACAGTTGCTTTCAGGGGTGGGCAGCCACGTGTCCAGCAAAAGGGTTGGTAATCAAGGAAGACTAGGAAGTCTAAGAGCAAGTGTGAGGGGGAAGAGATGGAGGCTGAGAACCTGTGGTCAAGGGAGGCTGTGTGTCCCAGGGAGCGGCAGCACTGGTGGGTACCAGCGTGTTTGTGGGCACATGGGCTCTTGGTTTTCCTTATGGATATTTTTTTCCATTAATGGTGCACTTCAACTGAATAATGTTTCTTTAAAAAAATGTAATTATCCAGCCCAAGGTGTTTTTACAGCATAAGTCAACGAGCTCACCCCAAACTGAATTTGCAAATGGTACTGGGATGGTGAGCCCCACCATGTCCAGCTCAAGCATCCCCCCCCAGCCCCTCTAGTTTGATGCTCTCCTGGGGCAGGGGGAGGCAGGTGAGGGGCAGCCTGGACCTCTTGCCTTGCCTGATGCTGCTGGAGGGGTGACCGTGGCCTGTTTTCTTCTCCATTACAAGGTCACCACGATGTTAGGAGACAAACTGGAATCAAGGTTGCAAAGCATCCATTGTCTTCAGGGCTGATTTCAGAGTTTTTCCCTGTTGATTTAGTTCCATAATTTGATCTGAGAAGTGCATTGGAGAAAGGCATTCCTCAGGTTTTTGAGAATGTCAGGAGAAAGAGGACTGAAGATTTGCGTGTTGTTAATATTAACGTGCCCTGGCGTGGGAGGGTGTAAAAAAACCAGAAAGATGAAGCTGCCTACAATAAGACCTGGTGCTCAACCCCAAATAAATCACAGCAACAGCGCTGTGCTCTTGAGCATGCCGTGATTTCTCTGTTGAGGGTCAGAGAGACCTTCGTGTAAGCTGGGTGAATATAAATGTCCCCATGACATGGCAGGGAGAAGGTTGCTCTGCCGAGAGCTGCTAGTTTAGACTCCTGACTTGACGTTTTTTATGGAAATACTGAGTATTTGTCATGCTCATTTGGAAAACCTAAGCTCTACTCCAGCTCCCAGCTCGTGGCCTTTGGTTGCTTCTTCTTACATTTGAATACTTCTTTGTTAGGACTAATTTCTAAAACAAAGTCTTTTCCAAGCGCGAGAGCAAGCCTGTGTGTGCTCAGATGCTTTCTTTTGCATGGCTGTGAAAAACAATTTGATCTAGCGAGGGTAAAAGCTTGAAGTTTGAGCTATAATTGGAGTTTGGGATTTTTGAAAAGAAAAAGGGAGATAAGAGACCAGTCGAAGCTGTCAGAGTCTCTTCCTCCTGTAGATATTTTTGTTCATAACTGTTTGTATAATCTCCTTGCCCATAACAAGATGTTAATTAAATCACCACCAACTATTTAAAATAATTCAGGTCCTTTTTTTTTTTTTTCTTTTAACCCTTTCACACCTTTGGCAAAACTCTAACTGTATCCCCATAGTTTATACATTTAAAAAAATGCCTGTATTTAATCTCCTTGCCTGCCTGTGCTTTTCCTTTGTCGTTTCAACTGCCTGTTTGCAGTTCTGCAATCCAGAATCTGCTTCTGCAATCCAGGAAAAAGTATGTAAGGGAGGTGGAGGGGGAATACATGAGTCAATCCGCAGAAGGCAGAGATGGAGCTTTGCATCCAGCTGAGTCTGGCGCCGAGTCCAGGCACAGCCTGCGGAGGGAGAGGCTGTGGGTGAAGCCAGAAGCTGGTGAGAGATGATGGCTTGGTGGCCCAGCACCACATAGTCCTTTTTCCTGGGAGACACGGTGCTGGCCTTCCCAGGCTTCCAGCAATACTTCTGCCTACTGGTGCTGCTGCCATCCATTCCTTGGTTGAACTGATGTGATGGCTGAGGAGGAGGAGGTGACAGTGATGGGCACTTGTCTCTGACAAACGCAGATGACACCAAGATTTGAAGCCACCTGGTGTCTCCAGGAGTTTAGAGTGTCCCTTGACTGGTTCAAACAGTGTGATCTGAAACCATGGGTGTTTTCACTTCTGCTTCCCAGGATCCCACCCGAGTGGTCAGCCCTATTATCGACATCATCAACTTGGACACTTTTGCCTACGTGGCGGCTTCCTCGGACCTCAGAGGAGGTGAGTCCGAGCCGCGTGCATGGTACCCATCCTGTGGGCATCCATCCCATGGTGTCAACACGCACTGGCCTGAGGAGCTGGTGGCTCCGCGCCGCAGTGCTGGCTCCTGCTATCTTGCAAAAAAAAGTGCATTAATGCTGCCCGGTGATCCCCGCTGGCTGTTTCCAGGCTATTTTGGAGACAGGTAAGCGTGGCGTGAGGAATGGCGTTTGCTACAGCGGGTGAGGCGGTCAAGCGGGGAAAGAAGGGTCGTGTCAAAGCCACCCTTGGCAGCTCTGAAAGCCATTCTGCTGACGAGAGGAGGTGGGGGATGTCTAGGCAACAAACGGGGGATGAGGCTGCAGCGCTCATTAGTATGCCGGTGCTATTTGTGGCACGCAATATCCATCAGAGCGTGTATTTTTGTGCACAGGGGGACCAAGTGAGGTTTCAGCAGCAGCTTTAATTCTGACTTCTCCTGCCTTCGGAGCGCTCGGCTTCTCAATTGTAATGCAATGTGTTGTTTCTTGTTCATACGCGGTGGTAAAATACGTTAGTCGTTGGGCTCTTCTCCCAAGAGCTGCATCTCTGTGGCTTTAAGCCATTTGGAAGTGGGGAAAATACTCCATCAAACACGGCTGCTGCAGCCCGCGTTGCCTCCTAATCCATATCCATTCCTAATTTCCCCATGGTGCTTCTTTACTTTGGTTTTAGGGTTTGACTGGAGCCTGCACTTTAAATGGGAGCAGCTTTCCCCAGAGCAGAAGGCCAAACGCCTGGATCCCACCGAACCCATTAAGTAAGTCAGAAGGGGGAAGGAGGCACCGAGGAACGTGGGGCAGGACGGGTGTCTCATCTGACCTCACCTGTGTCACCGTGCACCATAGCAGTGTGATATTCCTTCCAGGACAGCTTGGAATTTCTACTAGTTATAGCCAGCTCCTGGATAGCTTGGGTTTTGCATTACAGCTTCACCTCCCAACACTGAAGCCCAAGGGTGCTCCAAAGGTAGAAGGGGGATATTTATCATTATTTGCAGTTTGGTAGTGGTAAGGAGGCTCTTTATGGGTAGAGAAGAAGCCCAGTGCTCTTCTCACAGCTCAGCTGTCAATGAAAAGTAAGGCCTCGACCCACTTGATAAAAGCTAGGTGTCTAGTCCAACCTTTCCAGATCAGCACAGCTCTTCTGGACCTTGCTGAAAGCTCCTCAGAAATTCAGGATGTGCAGGAGAGCCAGCAAAACTGAACAGGAGAGAGATGCCATCTGCCCTCACACCGTGGGGTGGGTGGAATCCCTTGTTCTGCTGAAGAACTCTCCCAGCAGCAAGCCAAGTGCTGGTCTCTGCATCCCCAGCCATGAAGCTCTGGGGTGAGCACCATGGAGGAGACCAAGTGTTGGAGGAAGCTCAGGGGTTCGGAAGGCTCACAGCGGAGCAAAGCACTGCTTCTCCTTTGGATGCTGTTGTGAACAGGAGCCCTCTCTGTCTTCCTGATGGCTCACGTTCTGGTTGTCCCACCATGTAGGGCATTGTGGAGACTCACCCAGGCACAGCAGTCACCCCAGCTCCTCCCAAGCCTTCGCTGAGGCACCCACGCTGTCTGCAGCTGAATGGAGACAGGACTTGTGCCAGTAAATGGCAGGTCTCCTCAAGCTGTCTTCTGGGCCTGCCCTCCCCTCCTCCACGGGCTTTCTCTGAGCAGGTTTTTGTAGTTAATCCGAAGAATGAAAAATAACCCTGTTTTGAAATAAAGATCACACAGCTAGGGATGGCTTTTAAAAAGCCCTTCTGAATTGGCTCTGCCTTCCCCTCCCCAGCGGAACGGTGCTCTTAATAGGCTGGCTCCAGGCAAAAAGCCCGTCTGAGTGAATAACCCCCCGAGCGCTAAGTGCATTTTTGATGCTGAAGCCTACAATCAGGGCTGTGAACTTCGGGCTTGTAGGAGTTGTGCTGACGGGTGCATTAGCCAGTCATTAAGTGCCAGGCAATTTGTGATTGACAGCAAAATACCAAGGCAGCTGAAAGAAAGGCCCAGATGCTTTCTGAGGTGTGTTGTCCTTGTTTGGTGAGAAGGAGATACGTAGGTAATGATGATGGAAGAGGAGGCAAAGGGAAGGGCTGCTTCTAGAATGTGTTCTCTCTTCCCTTACCTGCAGGACCCCCATCATTGCCGGGGGGCTGTTTGTGATCGACAAGGCCTGGTTCATTCACCTGGGAAAGTACGACAGTGCCATGGACATCTGGGGCGGGGAGAACTTTGGTGAGTCACTCTTCTTCCTCCTACACCTTGCTGTATTGACTTCTCTTCCTGAATCATGCCAGATGGATACAAGGTCATTTTGGACTCTGCTGTGGATGCTCTACATGGTTTCACTCACATTCATAGGTTACGGTCTCAGGTGAGTGAGGGATCCAACAACCATGAATGATGAGAAGTGAGCAATTGTTGGTACTTGGGATGCCCTGCCTTCCATGCTGCTATTTTTTCTATAGGAAAATACCCCTAACCACAGAGTTTCCAGCTTTGGTGTTACCAATAGATAAGAGAACACCACATGCACCCTCCTATTCCTTCCTGATCTTATTTTCTCATTAATAAAGTGAAGACATGCCTTATTCCATTGTCTGACAATTGACAGCAAAATACCAAGGCAGCTGAAAGAAAGGCCCAGATGCTTTCTGAGGTGTGTTGTCCTTGTTTGGTGAGAAGGAGATACGTAGGTAATGAGGATGGAAGAGGAGGCAAAGGGAAGGGCTGCTTCTAGAATGTGTTCTCTCTTCCCTTACCTGCAGGACCCCCATCATTGCCGGGGGGCTGTTTGTGATCGACAAGGCCTGGTTCATTCACCTGGGAAAGTACGACAGTGCCATGGACATCTGGGGCGGGGAGAACTTTGGTGAGTCACTCTTCTTCCTCCTACACCTTGCTGTATTGACTTCTCTTCCTGAATCATGCCAGATGGATACAAGGTCATTTTGGACTCTGCTGTGGATGCTCTACATGGTTTCACTCACATTCATAGGTTACGGTCTCAGGTGAGTGAGGGATCCAACAACCATGAATGATGAGAAGTGAGCAATTGTTGGTACTTGGGATGCCCTGCCTTCCATGCTGCTATTTTTTCTATAGGAAAATACCCCTAACCACAGAGTTTCCAGCTTTGGTGTTACCAATAGATAAGAGAACACCACATGCACCCTCCTATTCCTTCCTGATCTTATTTTCTCATTAATAAAGTGAAGACATGCCTTATTCCATTGTCTGACAACAGCATTGTGAAGCTATGAACTGAATTTGCAGGGTGCCTGAAACAGTAGCTCCATGGGCATGGTTCAAGCAGGTGTCAAAGTAACACAGCTGCTTCTCCATTCCTGAATCGTAGAATGGTTCGGGTTGGAAGGGACCTTAAAGATCATCCAGTTCCAACCCCCTGCCCTGGGCAGGGACACCTCCCACTAGACCAGGTTGCTCAAAGCCCCATCCAGCCTGGCCTTGAACCCCTCCAGGGATGGGGCAGCCACAGCTTCTCTGGGCAACATGTTCCAGTGTCTCACCACCCTCACAGGAAAGAATTTCTTCCTGAGATCTCATCTAAATCTCTCCTCTTTCAGTTAAAAACCATTCCCCCTCATCCTATGATCAAGAGTCCCTCCCCATCTCTCCTGTAGCCCCTTTAGGTACTGGAAGGAGCCCCTTCTGGGGCTCTGGAAGGCTCTAAGGTCTCCCTGGAGCCTTTTCTTCTCCAGGCTGAACAACCCCAACTCTCTCAGCCTGCACTGCCAGGCTTTCCTTGACACTATCATTTTTCCTGCATGAAAAAAAAAGGGGTTAAGAGCTGACCTAAATTCAGTCACCTCTACCCCTTATCACAGGGCAAGATGGGCATTAAGAAATCTCCCGTGTGCACACTTGAGAGGGGGCAGGAAAGAGGGGGCAGCCTGTCCCTTGTCCCCCCGTGTCAGGCGGAGCTGGCTCAGGCTGGGCTCTTCTCTCTTTGAAGCCGTCGCGATGCTGCGGATCAGAGCAATGGACTGGAGCCGTGAAAGAAAGGGGAGGGCACTGGATGTCAGGCAGACAGATCAGAACCTGGCTTTAATAGCTCAGCCCTCAGGGGAGTGTGGCTGGCCAGGAAGGAAGGATCTCATGTCTTAACACATACAGGGATGCTGTCACTCATCCAAGGGAACAGATGCTGCCGCCTTGCAGTAACCCATCAGCTGCCTGGCACTGTTGTTTCCTTCACATGCCTTTTTTTTCCTCCAGCATATTTTATTTATTTATATCTTGTTACGCAGTAGGATCTCGTTCCTTCATGCTTTGCCTCTGTGGGTGGGTGTCTCGCCGCCGGACCGACACAAAGCATCTGCTCCTCTGTAGTGGGGTGGCTCTGGGGAAACCTAGGAGGGAGCTCATCCTACGGAGCCCTGATGTTCCCCTTACTGGTGGTCTGCCCTGGGAGGCTGTTCCTGACCCAACAGGTGCTGGAACACACCAGCGTTAACCAGACAGGTTAATGCTGCCCCCAAAAAAGTCTGCAGAGCAGCAGGGCAGATCCTGTCCTGCCCATCGCCCTGGGAACAGAAGCCTGCCTGGCTCAAAGTGGTATCTCCTGCAGGTGCAGCAGTCGAGGGTGGCATGTCCCACCTCTTCTTCATGCCACAGGCAAGGGTGGCTGTCACCCTGCTGGCTCTGGTCAGTCCTGGGCAAGTGACAAAGAGTGGCTGCTCATTTTGGGGCATTTGCAATGCTTTTCCTGGTAGCTTAGTCCTTAGGGGATGTAAGACTGGTCCTGAGGAGTGTTGCTGTTGCCTCTAATGGTATTGACTGGGCAGCTAGAGTGGGCTGGAGACTTCAGGCAAAAGAAGAGCACCTGCAGGGGAGACATCCTTCGAGGGTCAAATGAAGCAGCATGCTCTTGGTTCCTGCTCCTCTGAGTTGGCCCCATGCTGTGCCTTTGCTTGTGCCTCAGTTTACCTTCTCCCAAGGCATTTAGGTCTTGGCTGCCTGAGTGGAGACCTTGTTTGTTAGCTGCCACCGATGGCTCCCTGGCTCATCCCTACCTGCTGAAACCTTTAGTTGCCTCAACTGGGACTGGAGCAGGGTCTCCAGGGTGCAGCTTGTCTCCAGCAGAGAGCTCAGGCTCCTCCTCACCATCTCCTGCCTTCCCAGCAGTGTGTTCTCATCCCAGTTTGCGGTGCGCAGAGAGATCACCTCAGCCCACCTCTTCATTAGGCTGTAAATTAAGAGACAGGCGAGGGCTGAACGGTGCGAGTCCTTCCCTTGCAATGCTTGAGGGAGCTGCTCTTCTCCCCAGCTGAGCAGAAGGACCAGAGGGAGGGGAAGGCACGATGCAGCAGCCCATGCTGCAGCTCACAGCTGCTCAGCGGATTGTCCCTCCTGCCTCGGCCACCCTTCTGATGTGCTCAGGAGAGCCATGTGCGAGGGGAACCGGGTGCAGCAGCTTCGAGCGGTCCCATCCCGCCGTAATCTCATTTCCCGGCCGCTGTGATTAAGGTTGCTCCCAATATAGCACCAGGACACGGCACAAGGGCATGTTTTATTGGCCTGTTAATACCCAGCGCTGGGGAAAGTGGTGAGGCTCCAGCTGCTGTCGCTGCTCTTGCCTGTAAACACAGCGGGGAAGGGAAGGGGAGGGGATTTCTGGAAAGAAATGCTTCTCCCTCCTGTGCTTTCCCACCCCAGCCTTTGCTGGCCCCTGCTGCCAGGGCCAGCTGTTGAGGATGGGCTCAAGCCTTGAGTTTTGGACCCGGGCATCAAGGCAAGAGGGCTTTGAGGCTGTGCCAGCCTCCCATTTCCATCAGCTCAGGAGCAGGCAGGGCTGCTGGGAGCAGGGACGGGAGCCACGTGAATCTGGGATCCCACCTTGTGCACCTCTTGGCTGAGCCACGTGGGCTGGAGAGCAGGATGCTTTGTTGGAGGTCCGGGCTCCAATTCTCCTTTGCTCCCTGAAGCCATAAGTCATTTTTGGAGGGATGGCAGCTCTGTGGGCTGGCAGTGCCTGCTGCTGGAGGTGGAGGAGTCCTGTCCACACTGCCCAAATGGCCTTCCTGCCACAGGGACAGCATCCGACCTGGAGACAAGTCATCCTTGTGCTGGCATATGTGAGGGGACTGCGGGGAGCACAAGCTGGCAAAGACAATGGGTGGCCTCCTGTCTGACTTCTGTAGCTAAATGTGTGTGTAGGGGGGGAGGGAGTGAAAACAAATTTGTTGTTTTGCAGTAGATATGTGCTATGTATAGCTCTAGACTGTCAACAGATGATAAAACAGGATGCAAAGAACTGCAGAAGCCTTTTCTTTTTAACTTCATTTCTTTTCCATGCTGGTTGTGTCTGAGCATGACTGTCTGACAATATAGTTGCAGATTCATCGCTTCACAGGCGTTAGGACCAGATGGACCCATTAGATCAGCCATTCTGCTCACCCGTCCTACCTCACCAGCTAGGATTTCATCCAGCTCCCTGCCAAGAGGCCCGTAACTTCTGGTGTCAGTTGTGCCACAGGCTCGTTTTTCCCTCTAGGAGGGCCCCGTGGACCAGCCAGGGAGCAGCTACGGGCACCCAGCAGGCATTTCCCACACTGGTAGCTCATCCAGATTTTTGGGATGATTCCTCCCACCACTGACCTCTGGTTGTGTGAAGGCGTGTGCCCTGTTGGTCCATGATATCAGCCCAGTAACTGCTGGGCAGGGTGAGCTCCTATCCCTTTTGGGACGGGTGATGGATGCGCAGCTCCCTGTTCCCCTTGCAGAATCAGTGGTGGGTTCATAAAGATAATGACTGTCGTAGTCATTAATAACAGACTTCATGGCCTCTCCTCGTCAACTGACAGCCCTTTGTAGGGAAGTGACTCCGAAATAGGCAGTGCAGAAGTAATTACGGGAGCACAAAACTGGCAAAGATGATGCTGCGACATGAGCAGGAGCGCATGAAAAGGGACCTACTTACCGCCTCGCTCTTGCCATTGTGATAGCACCTGCTGTGCTACAGGCAGGTTCCAAGTGCACTGACTTCAAACAGATCACAGGAGGCTTTGAAACGCACTTTTAAGGGAGTTGTGCCTAGGAAAGCCCCTCTGGTAATCGGTTTACCCCAGTTTAACGTGACGGAGGATGGGAGTGGGAGCTAACGCCGGAATTCAGCCTGCTCTAGGGCAGAAAGGCAAAATGCTGAAGCTGCTTTTCTTGTAGAGATGTCTTTCCGTGTGTGGATGTGTGGAGGGAGCCTGGAAATCATCCCCTGCAGCCGTGTTGGACATGTCTTCCGGAAGAAACACCCCTACGTCTTTCCGGAGGGGAACGCCAACACATACATTAAGTAGGTGTTTTGCATTTGCTTAGTTTTTTGTGAGATGGAATAAGGTCCTGCCTTGTAGGGAGGAGGGAAAGGAGCTCAGAAGATGGGTAGGAAAGTTCCTTTGGGAAATTTTGCAATATCCCTGTGCAGGAGTCTCCTGAGCCAAAGGAAATCAAGCCAGTACGACTCTCCCTTAGAATTTCTCCAGTATTGACAGAAATAGGGGACTTAGATGGTACCTTTCATCACCACGGAAATGGAGGGATGGCCCCAGCATCTCCCTGAGCGCTAGCAAATGGTTTAGACCCTAAGGTCGTCAGAACACATTTAGAATGAACTGAAATCAGGCTGCCAGCAATGTCTGTCAGTACCCGGTGACCTTAGCTGAGGGCTGAGCGTGGCTCAGCTGAACCAGAAAATTCGGTTCCTGATGCCTTTCGGAGAGGGAAGCCAAGCAGCAGTGCTGGAGAGGGTGGCTTTGCCTCGCTGGTGGGGACACCGAAGGAACTGCCAGGGCATCCCAGCCGGAGGGGACCTGTCCTCACACACAGGCTGAATCAGGTACTAAAATGGCTGGCTGAAACGGGCTAAGATTTTGGAAACTGCAGACAAGGAAGGAGGCAGAAGTGGGAATGGGCACGGGAAACATGATGGGGAGCAGCTAGTGAGGTTGAGAAGGATTTTCTCCTTTTTTAGAGCATGAGGCTGAAGGTTGTCCATTAAGTAAACGACCGAGAAAAACATCAGGAGCAGTTGTACTTAACGCAGGGCTGTTTCTCAGCTAGACTGCATTTGTGTGTGTTCACACAACAGGCATTAGTGTGGCTTTCCCAGTGTTATAGAGCTGAGGTATTAGTGAAGACCCAGCTGCCTGCAGTGAGGGTTCCACTGACCCCGGGCTCTCTGCAGCTTCTCCACACTTTGTGTGAGACAATGAACTGGGGACAGGTGCTAATTATATCTCTCTTATATCTAATATGTGATTTATATATCCTATATATCCAGCCACACAGCATGTGGGGCAGGATGTGGACCTTGTCACCTGGCTTGAAAGAGTGGGTGTTGCTGGCATCTCAAAGAGGAGGCCATGCATCTGAGAGTCGATCTCAAAGAGGAGGCCATGCATCTGAGAGTTGACAATCACAGAATCATAGAGTGGTTTGGGTTGGAAGGGACCTCAAAGATCATCTAGTTCCAACCCCCCTGCCCTGGGCAGGGACACCTCCCACCAGACCAGGTTGCTCAAGGCCACATCCAGCCTGGCCTTGAACCCTTCCAGGGATGGGGCATCCACAACTTCCCTGGGCAACCTGTTCCAGTGCCTCACCACCCTCATAGTAAAAAATTTCTTCCTGAAAGGAGGAGGGCTCTTGCTTTTAGTAGCGCAGTAAGACCCCTACACAACAGGCTGGGATGTGGCAGATTCCCCCCTGCCCTGCAAACCTCACGTGAAAAGGCAGGGTCTGTGTTGCATCACCTGCAGGAGGAGCTAGGGGAGCTGGAATGGGCACGGCTTTTCTGGCTGCATCCCAAGTGCAGGCCCACGGGGACTTCGGGGAAGCCTGAGTCAATGTCCAGGTGTGAGCCTTGGCAGCCATCCCCGTGTTTCTCATAAACCCGAATGAGATCAGGAAGTCAGAGAAAAAAAAAAAAAAAAGATTAGGTAGAGATGTAGATGTAGACACAGCGACTTCTGCTTCTCTTAAGGAAGAGCACTTAGACTATTGCAGTGGCCTTAGAGAGAGGGGAAAAAGCACCGTGAATCAGCAAGAGACTGAAAAGCATTCTACAGAAACGTATCCGTAGGCATTAGGAGCTGGGCTTTTATTAACCTTATGGTATCTATCAGCCTTAAACTTAACAAAGTGGTATATAGACTGAGAGGAGAAGCAGCTTATGGCAACCTGATGCGATGTGGTACCTCTGTTTAAACAGAGATGTTAACAAAATATATCTCCACCTTTCTGCTAGATATTGATTTTTTTTTTTTCCCACGTAGCCTCTTCTTTAGTGCAAGAGACAGCTCAGGCTCCGGTATCGTGCTGGCATCACATGCAGACTGTCATCTCCTGTTCTGGCCATGTGGGGCTTGGTGGGATCAGAGCCTGCCCTGCGGCACCCACAGCCCAGTGGCAGATATCAATAGCTTGGAGGCACTGGCCTGTCCTGGAGCAGGAGCTTGGAGGACTCCCCTGGCCTGGGCAGGGATGGGCAGATAGGCAAGAAGCAATAAAGCCATTGAAAGGAAAGTTAGAGCCATCTGAAGTCAACAGAAGATTTCCTGAGGTTCCTCAACCTTCTGCGGGCTCCTGGCTGATGTGGAAGACTGACATTTAGGCTACAGCGCTGTGGCCAGGGTGGTTTCTCTTCAATTTTGAATGCTGAGGTTTACCTCAATGAAATGCAGGAGTGGAAAAGAGGAGAGTCCATACAGGGTTGATGCAAAGAAAAATTTGCCTTGAATATCTGGCAAATTTTGCACCACCTTTCAGAGCTCCATCCCAGCCAGTAAATAAAACCCCAGGCAGACCTGCCTGGGAGGTGATGCTTAAGAGAGGCTTCAGTTCTGAATCTGGTGGATGCAAAGCATCCAGCTAAGTTTGAAATGGCCAATTCTTCACCTGGGCTTTGGCCAGTTGTATTTGGTCCCCGGAGTAATGGGGAGGAGGAGCAGCTTCTCTAGTAGTGAGCGGTGGGCTGGCTCAAAGGTGGTTTGGGTGAAGCCAGAGACCGAGTCGAGGACGGGAGGAGGTCCGGATGGGTTGGGCCATGCATTTTAGAAAATGTCACCTTGGAGGCTTCCTTGGTTTCACCTGCCTTGTTGTTGCCTCTTTCAGGAACACCAAGCGCACGGCTGAGGTGTGGATGGACGAATTCAAGCAGTACTACTATGCAGCTCGTCCCGCAGCCCAGGGGAGGCCTTATGGAAAGTAAGTGTCTTTCTCACCCTGCCTGCACCCTGCCTGCTGCAGGGGGTCTTCAGGACCACGCTGCCCTGCTTGTGGAAATCTGCCTGCCTTGTTTCTGTAGTAACGCTCAATTAAATGCTAATGGCAGGCAGATGCTAGGAGCACAGCAATGAAACACGGGAACAGCTAGTTGATAGGCCGTGCTGGTTTATCCCGGGGACTGAACCCAGTTGAGGTGTAGGGGAACCCCCCCAGCCTCTGCATACGTCCTGGCATTAAGTACAAGTAGTTGTGGTCCCAGAGCGGAGTTTTGGGGAGGGAGTCCAGAGTTCTCGCTGGCAGCTGAGGGGCTGGAAAACCATCAAATCTTTGGGCCCGCTAAGGCTTTATTTGGAAAGGAGCAATCGCTTTGTATTCAGGGAGTTTGCTGTTCATTCTGTGAACAGTCAGAGGCACCTCCCTCTCAGTTGGACTACATGTATTTGTGTTAATTTCTCATTTTCATAGGGTCTTCCTTCCTTAGAAAGTTTCCTTTGGAACACGGTGGGTTCCAAATCCAACCCCAAGTTCCCTTCAATTTCTAAGATAGATAATTTGAAAATGCTGGTGGCTAACCTGTTTCCACTGAATTGGTACCCTCTTCCCATCCGTTAGCGTGGAGTGAAGCAGTAGCTCCATCCTGCTAAACACAGGAGGATGTGGAGAAGGCACTGGAGGCTTCCTACTGCACTGTAAATGCCACCTCCCAATAGCTCCACAGCTAGAAGCTGGCCCAGAGGGGAGCTGGATTTTGGAAAAGGTCACTATATAGCATGATCCCTCAGCAGAGGTTTGGCCTTGGTTAATGAAAGAAAGAAATATTTCACCGTGTGCTGACTTAAAGGTGTGTTTAGGTGCTCTTGTGAGACAAGGCCTTTTGTGGTCCTGTAAACTAAGAGTAGCTTATAATTTCCTCGTACATTAATATATTAAATTAATGCTTATTGCATAGAGTAGCTAGCATACTTTTTTTTTTTACTAGTTATTTTTAAATGGCTGTACTTTTCCATGAACCTTTCATCCACCAAACTCCAGACTCCTTGTTAAAATGGCAATATGTCATTGTGCCGTTCTACCAGGTGAGACCTCCAAAGAGACAAGAGATCAAAACGACTGACCAAGCCCATGCAGGAGACAGCAGAAAATAGAGCTGCTGATGCTCTTGTGTTTGCTGTGGGTGCATAAACGTTGGGTTTCTCCCAGCCTCCCTTTTTTGGTGCATTTGGTCTCACCTTTGTGATTTCCATTGTATCTCTATGACATTTTCTTCCCACAGTGTCCAGAGCAGAGTGGAGCTGCGGAAGAGGCTGAAATGCCACAGCTTCAAGTGGTACCTGGAAAACGTCTATCCCGAGCTTCGGTATGGATGTGTGATCTCCACCTGCCCCACAGAGCTCTCCTCTCCCCCTCCAGTCCCCATACCTCCCTCCTGCCCCAGAGAATAGGTATCCTCAGGTATCCTCAAGTATCCTCCTGCCCACACTGTGGGACAAGTGGTATCAGGAAATATCCAAGGTGGAAAAGCCCACCACAGTCTCTGGTGGGTTTTTTTCAGTACTTAATGACTCTTGCTTGCAAAAAAAGCACCTGATTTCAGGTCCTTTCACCCTGTTCTGTGATACTTAAGACTCCTCTGTTGTGAAACTGTCCATTCTAGGAGTTTATGACCTGTATTCAGGTGGCTCTGCCTTACTCATAGCCTAGTGCTTTGCTTAATATGCACTTCCACAGCAGATCCCTTTTAGTCGCCAAAATTACTCCAGAAATCATGGCATGCAGCCTCTCAAATCACTGTCAGGAGCCATGCTCAGAAAGGGTGCAGAAATTTTGGAGATACCTCCAGGGATCTGCTGGTGCAACGGCTGAGAGCAGAATCACAGTCTGAAAATGATTTATAGCTGGTTTTTTTTTTTTCATTTTCTTTTTTGACATGTATAGCATTGCATGGGAGCATTCACGGGGACTGCCACGGCGCTGTGGCAGTTTGTTATAAAGTTCCTCACTCCTGTAAGCTGAAGGTTGACCTTCAGCCCTCTCACAGTCTGTCTCTTGCTCCTCTGTTTGCCTCGTGCGGTGCTATTTATTTTTTCTCTCTTATAAAGGCCATCCATCCATCTCTTGATGCTGCTGCAGCATCCCTGTCCATGTCCTGCTCTCAGTGGTTCAGTGTTGTAATAGATCTTGCCACTGTCATTTCCTGAAGGTGAAATGGTGTGATTGTGCCCTCCTTACCCCACTGAGCCTCCCTTCTGAGTACTCTCTGTGCCCGGGGGAGCGGGGATGTTGTTCTCACACTGTTCCCGCAGGATTCCCGAGGAATCGCTCTATCAGACCGGGATGATCAGGCAAAGGCAGAGCTGCCTGGAATCACACAAGTCTGAAGCCCAAGAGCTGCCCGTCCTGACCTTAAATCCTTGCATCAGCAGCAAAGGCACGGCAGCAACAGCACAGGTAAGATGTGTTGCCTTTTCCCGGTGATGCCGAGTGGAGAGAAGGCTCTGGGACAGCTTCGAGGGGATTTCCTAAAGCTCTGTTGGAGGATTACCCGTTCTGACAACCCCTTTCCTAAGGCAGCGTGTAGTTAGACCCTGCCAAGTCCTCCTTACCTTGGTGGGGGTCCTGGGCAGCAGCAGTGGTGGACCACTCATCTCCATGCTGGCCCACGCTGAGCACTTGCTGCTGCTCAGGAACGCCACGCGCCGTTCATCTGCAGAGATCAGGGAAAGACAAAGAGAACTATAATTTCCTCTCATCTTTCAGCCTTATTTCTTTCAAAACGCACTGAATCGCAGTGGTATTTATAACTTCATAGTCTGCATTCTCTCAATATTAGATTGCCCATTAAACTAGTGAGAATTTAATGAGGATGATCTCATATTTTTTTTTCCGTCTCGTTTTTTTTTCAGTCTCACTGAGACGAGAGAAAAGCTGTACCAATCAGTGTTCTCAAAAGCATATTCTAGGAAACGCTAGAACCAAGAGCAGGCACACGTTCTGTAGAGTGGAGTCACTGGAGCAAGGCTTTGAAGAGCCAAAGCTTTAAAACCTGCCTTTGCTTCAGGCTCCCTTTGTGATTTTGGGCATGTCAGTGAGTTCTCTCACTGCTCCCATCTATGAAACAGGGAGGATGACAATCACTCACTTCTTCGGGGTGCTGTGAGACAATTTAATAGGGAACGGTGCGCTTGCGTCCACTCTACATCCTGAACCCTGGTGGTTGCACGTGCAAACCAGGTAGCTACACATACCAGCCTTGGAGATGCTGTTGAAAACGTTCCTAATTTGTATATGCAAATGAAGCAGGTCATTATGTACATCTCTTTTGCATGCAGTTGCATGCCTGCCTTTAGTCAGGAAAAGTAATATCTGTTTCACAGTCCGGTAAAGTCAGCAGTGACTACTTGAATTTTAGTTCAGAAAATACAGTGAATATAACTGGAAGTGCCATGTAGTTACAGTTCTTATGGATTAACTACTTTCTGGGTTTTAGAATTCTTTTTTCTTTCTTCCACTGCTGCATGGACCTTTTATACAAACGGCGAGAGAAGTGAGCTGATGAGAGCAGGTCATTATGTTTTGCAGGGGTCAACTCTGCTGAAGGAAGAAAAAAAAAATGCTTTAGTGACAATTGTGACTTTTAATGAATTGGATGCTTTTGAAAAAATATCTGGGAAAACCAGAATGGATAAAAGCTGCTGCAAGCTAGCGTGTCAGAACGAAATGGCATTGGTCTTTTTGAAATACCAATTCAATGTGATATTTTAAAATGAGAAGTGTCGTGCCAACAAGTTGGATTGTTTCATTCCCATCAAACGCATTTCGTTTTGACATTTCTGTGCGGGAGATTTTTTGGGAATTTTTCATGCCACAAACTTTTCATTTTCCCATTCTGATTCTGCAGCAGTTTGCAATAGGTCAGCACTTCCCACTGGATGGCAACTCCGTTTCTTGTGCGCATCCGGGACTATCTCTGCAGGGGAACAGAAAAATGCACTACAAACAGATTGCTGAACAGCTACGCTCAACACACAGGCAGGAGCAGAGAAAAACCTTTTCCTTTGATCTTTCGCTGTCTTTCTAGGACAGTTCTCTGTTACTTGTACCCATGGAGAATATGAAAACAGGACATTTAAATTTTTGTCATGAGTAGGAACTTATATTTTAATTACACAATGGTTACAAGTCCTCTTGCTTGTACAGTTCTGTCACATAAAGTTGGGCTCCCGTTGGGCTGCTCCTTGCCAGGCTGAGGGGCTCTTTTCTCCTTCTGCCACCCAGACTATGCCAAGCCAAAGGTCATATTTTAAAATAATTCCCTCAATTCACAGTGATGGTGAGTAACAGTGACATGTGCCCGCTCAAATGATGCTAAAGCCTTGAAGAATAGTGACAAGCCTCAGATGGGGGTGAGTGTTATCTGAGGCTTTGGTGGAGAGGGGGATTACTGGTTGTGCTGTGCGGCTGGTAGCTCTGCTCTCCCAGTCCACCTTCTTCCTCCTTGCTCCATGGCCACTTACTTCACTGGGACCTGCTTTGTCTTTGAAAAAGTGGGAACTCTTGATCTCCAAGGGTCAGCTCTCAAGCTCATTGGTTTCTCTTCAGGTCAGTCTGTGGCCCTGAAGCCATGGTAGCTCCCTCTTCTTAGGAGTACCCTGGGCTGTCCTGTTCACCACAACCCCTGGGGTGCAAAGCTCTGTTGTTGCTACTGCTGTGCTGGCCGTGTGAGTGCTCAGCATGCCAAGGTTTAGAAGATAAAGTAGTTGTTTATGGGGAAAAAAAGCAAGAATTTTCATCCCAATTGATACAAAAAAGGGAAGAGATTGGGTAGGATAAAAATGTGCATGGCTGTTTGCCTGTATTTTAACTCAAAGCTTTTCATGGATTCCGTGGTATTCAAGTGACTTCCCCCCCCATCCCTTCCCCTGAATTTCTTCATTTTCTGCATCTTCTTCATTTTCTGCATCATTTTCTTTGGCTTTTATCTAGGGCTGAAAAGAGACAAGACATGATTAGAACTGGATAAAACACTTTGAACAGGACTGGCTTCCATAAGAAGCCATTCTGCCAAAATAGAAGATCCGTGTGAAAATCTGTCAGTTTAGATAAGGACAGCAGCAGGACAGCCTGGGGGCAAGAGGCGGGGATCTAATGTCAGCTATCAAACTGATGCATATATCTAGTCTGAAGGCTTCACTTTTTATGATGAACAACAGCTCTGGAGAGATGGTTACCACCACCGTATCTATCCCACGGCACTTTGCGCAGTGAGAGGATGGCCCTGCCATGAGAGGATGTAAATATTGGGAAAGCTTGAACAGAGACTGGCCTGGAAAAAAAGCATGAAGAGCCTCTGACAGGAGCATTCCTCCATGAAGTGCCTCAGGGAAGGAAAGAGGATAACAGGTCAAAGCAAAAAAAAGAGTTCCATGGCCTGAGTTAGTTGGGGTTTCAAGATATACACATAGAATCGTAGAATGGTTTGGATTGGAAGGGCCCTTAAAGATCATCCAGTTTCAACCCCCCTGCCCTGGGCAGGGACACCTCCCACCAGACCAGGTTGCTCCAAGCCCCATCCAGCCTGGCCTTGAACCCCTCCAGGGATAGGGCAGCCACAGCTTCTCTGGGCAACCTGTTCCAGTGTCTCACCACCCTCACAGGGAAGAATTTCTTCCTGAGATCTCATCTAAATCTCCCCTCTCTCAGTTAAAAACCATTCCCCCTCATCCCATGGCTCCACTCCCTGATCAAGAGTCCCTCCCCATCTCTCCTGTAGCCCCCTTTAGGTACTGGAAGGCTACTGTAAGTTCTCCCCAGAGCCTCCTCTTCTCCACACTGGACAACCCCAACTCTCAGCCTGGAGTTACTTGCTCCTGTTAAGGAGCCTCATGGGTGCAGCTCCAGCCCTGTCCTGAGCTAAAATGATGAACAATCAGTTAAAAATGTAAAGCAGGTTTTCAAAGCAGCTTGTGGGATCAGGGGCGCCAAGAACAGGTGTTGGAGCTTGCTCCGTAGGGCTCAGTTCTACACAGATGCAGGACTAATTTGGCACCTGATTTCCCAAGCTGGTGGTTTACACAGCAGCTGACAGTGTGCGTGGTTGGGATGTCTGGAACGTGTTCACTGTAGGATCAGGTAAACTCTGCTCCATCTGACAAAGGAGAAGCTGTTGCCAGAAGGCCCTTTGGGTGCAGACTGTGGCTTTGAAAATGAATGCTCTCTATGTGCCGAAATCCTGGGCAGCTCTCACTGAGAAGGCTGTGGGCAGGCTGTTCAGAAAGCCAGGTTTGATTTCCAATAGCTGGTGGGGAACAGTAGGCTGAGAAACATGGGGTGTGAGGATCACAGTGTGAAGTCGTCCTCGTGGATCTTGGTCTGCTGTGCAAAAGCATATTTTCCCTTCCAGGTGGCTAAGAACCTGAATGAAATGGGATTTATATTCCCAGGAATTGAATGCCTGTAGCTATCTGTTTTGAAGTCGGGGAGAGGAGTTGAAGCTCCTGACAGAAGCCAAAAGGGTGGAAGAGTTCCTGTGGTCTAATAACTCATGTTAATGCCATCCAGAGCCTCCACTATTCAAAGTCAGGGGGAGCTGCAGGCATCCCAGCTCTGAGATCAGGGCAGCCATTCTTTGCTTCCCCCTCCAGCACTCAGAAAGGGTTGCAGTCTCCCAGGACCACTGTTTTAGCCTTTGTTTTTCCAGCCCCAGCTTAAACTGCCATGTGTTTGAGCGCTGCCTTCCTCTTCATTGCCAGCCCCCCTGCTCATTTCAGAGCTGTTGGCACAACAGGATTTGATCGTAGAATCATTTTGGTTGGAAGAGGCCTCTTTAAGATTATCAAGTCCAACCGTTAACCCAGCACCACCGTGGTACCACTAAACCACGTCCCTCAGCACCACATCTACCCCCTTGTAAATATCTCCAGGGATGGTGACTCAACTACTTCCCTGGGCAGCCTGGTCCTATTCCCGAGAACCCTTTCAGTGAAGAATTTTTTCCTAAATTGATCCTGCTTTGCACCCTGGCTTAGAGACCCTTGGAAACCCCTTCCAGCCCTGCTCTTCCTAATTTTAAAGTTAATGCCCATGCAAAGTTAGAAGCTAAAAACTCGTTCCATAAGTTGCTCTCCAGGGTTTGTTGTTTCCCATAAACCAAATCAGCTCTTGCCTTTTCGTGCCCACACACAAATAGCAGGGAAATGTCCCTACCTGGACAGTTTCACATCCTCAGGAGGTGCTCTAAGTAAAATGAGCTCAGGTGAATGACAGGAAATGTTTTCAACTGGAACAAACAGTAGAATAAACGTCTGTGAAATACTCCTGGGCTTGGAGTTGTGTCTGTACATTCATGATACTTTCTCCAGCACAATTGGAAATCCTGGTCAAACTTCTCAGCCTCTTCTATTTTTCTCCCAAGAAAAACATCCAGGGGTGGAAAAGATGATAATCCCAGAGAGCCCCTGTTGTATGGTAAACTTTACACAGGACAAAGAATCTCTGCTCCCCCAAAGATTATTTCTTGGGCTGAGGAGCTGACAAAGAGCAGGTGAACGTGAAAAACAGCATAAGGAGAAAAAAACCTCCAAGACATCCCAGTGGAGCAGGAATAGCAGTGGTCATTGCAATACAGCAAATATTTGGAGTTTGGTGCCACTCCTTTGGTACAAAGGGGAGCTTTATCCCTGATTTCTGTGATACTTGGGAATAGAATCCTGGGAATTGCAAACATTTGCTATATATCACCTCCTCTCTTCCTCTGCTAACGGCAAAGCCTTTCTGCTGCTTTTCCTCGGAAAAATAGGATTGACATTGTGCAGTTAAACATTTCTGCCTTTTCTGCCATTTTTCCATCACCCTGTTCCTCAACCACACCCTATTTCTGGGAATGAAATCCTTTGCCTTGTGAACCGTTTTCTTTCAGCAACTTCTGTAGGCATTCCCTGTGGTACACGCAGCCCCCCAGCGACACGTGCAGTTTTGGGGAGGCTTGAAACATCCTACTTGACTTGTCCTGGTCTTGAAGTCATAGAATCATAGAATTGCCCAGGCCGGAAGGGACCTCCAAAGGTCATCTAGTCCAACCTCCTCGCAGTCAGCAGGGACACCCCCAACTAGACCAGGTTGCCCAGGGCCTCGTCAAGCCTCTCCTTGAATATCTCCAGGGATGGGGCCTCAACCACCTCCCTGGGCAACCTGTTCCAGTGCTCCACCACCCTCACAGTGAAGAACCCTCTCCTAATCTCCAATCTAAATCTGTTCCCCTCCAGCTTGAAGCCATTTCCCCTCATCCTGTCACTGCAGGCCTTTCTAAACAGGCTCTCCCCAGCCTTACTGTAGGCTCCCTTTAGGTACTGGAAGGCTGCCATTAGGTCTCCCCGGAGCCTCCTCTTCTTCAGGCTGAACAATCCCAGGTCCCTCAGCCTGTCCTCGTAGCAGAGGTGCTCCATCCCCCTGATCATCCTTGTGGCCCTCCTCTGGACCCGCTCCATCAGGTTCGTGTTCTTCTTATATTGAGGGCTCCAGACCTGCATACAGTACTCCAGGTGAGGTCTCACCAGAGCAGAGTAAAGTGGCAGAATCACCTCTCTGGACCTGCTGGCAACGCATCTTTTGATGCAGCCCAGGATGCGATTGGCCTTCTGGGCTGCAACTGCACCCTGCCTGCTCATGTCCAGCTTCTCGTCCACCAGCAGTCAATGAGGTTTGTGCTTGGTTTCAGAGGGGCGGGATCCAAGGCAAAACGTTTGCTTCCCAGGTAGAAGAATACCAAGAATCAGCCTTGATCACCCTCACCTCCTTTCTTTTTCTTCCTCTTTGCAGGAGTGGACGTACACATACAACCACCAAGTCCGCCAGCAACAGCTGTGCTTATCCGTGTACACCCTATTTCCCGGTTCCCAGGTGCTGCTGTCACCTTGCAAAGAAGGTGACAACAAGCAGGTGAGCCCTTCCGTTGATTCCCCCTTTTCCTTGACGTTCCCTTTCTTTCGGAATGGTATTAACCACACGTCAAATCGCCCGTGTGCTCTGACTTCATTTGGGAAGCGCAGTCTGTCTGGGAGCACAGACTCTGGCCTGTTCAGCCCTTTGCCTCTTAAATGAGCGCCTTGATAAGGTTGTCTATTAGCGCGGGTGGTGATCTGGATACTTATCTGCAGAAGTCAAACCCAAACTGGCAATTTAGTTCACACGGGCTGCCAGTCAGCCAGCAGATGCTGAAATTTCCCTCTCAGTTAATCATCGGGCTGGCATTTGAACCAGTGACCTGGGGAAAACGCTCTTAGTAATTTATTATCTTCCTGAAGCCAGGCAGAGACTGAGCTTAAATGAGTGTGCTTCTGATGGGAGAAGTGCTCAGTGTGTGCTCTGCTGGGCACGGGCTGGGGCACCCTGTACTTCATCAGGCCAAAAAGGCTTAGTGGCAACTGTCCTCTTGATGCTGGGACAGTGTAGTAAAAGCATAATGAGGAAAGAAGCTTGTTCACCCCCTGTTTCTCCTCTCTTGTGCGTTTCTCCTCAGCGATGGGGTAAAGTTGGGTCACACATTGAACATATAGCTTCACGCTTTTGTTTGGACACTGAGACAATTGGGGACACGAATGAGAGCACCAAAGAGCTTGTCATCAACCCTTGCGAGAGCATAGCCATGAGTCAGCGCTGGGACATGGTGATGTCTTGACCTGCTGGAGGACTTCCACAGCGGGGATGGGCACCGAGACGTTGCTACACGCGGCCAAGATGCACCACATGGAGCTCAAATGCAAAACCATTGGGGGCCCTTGTGGATTATGGGACAGGAGAAGAATCGTTCAGATAAAAAGAAGGACATGGTGCTCCAGGTTGAACAATGGATGCTGTCTGCAAGGCATGTCTGTTGGCGGTCATACGTTCAAAGAGAAGGGATGGCAAAAAAACAAACTTGAAATGTTTGGGCCCTACAATGGGCCCTACAGAAGTCCAGTGTGCACAGTATTTATTAATCTCTCTGGAAATACAGGTAGAAGAGCCTTGGAGACCAAAAGGAGACTTGGACTCAGCAAAACAAGCATCTCAATAACTTTTTGGGGGGTGAGACTTGTGCGCAAGGAGAGATGTACATCGAGGGATGCTAAGAAACATCACCTGGGATCGAGTGGAAAACACTGAATTATCTCTGCACTTTTAATTGCTGCAGATTAGTTTGTCTTCATGCGGAGAGCATGGGTGGAGCCATGGTGTACGTTCAAACGTGTATCTGATTCACGTATGTGTTGTGTATACAGAGGCAGGGCAGGAGTTTATGGCTGTGGCCAGCATCAAACCAGCAAGCAATGGCAGAGTCCTGCTCCGTGCTAACTGTACGTGGGGGTTGTTGAATCTCCAAAGCCCAGGCAAACAAAGGATTCAGTGTGTGAGATTAAGGGATTTAAACTCTTGGGAAGCTGGGAGGAAAGGCAGTGATGTGATTATTTCTGCTCTCTGAAGGCTATGGGTGAGCCTTGGCCACGGGAAACTCCCCTATAATCTCACTCTGTGTCTCTCACTGCTTCAGATCTGGAATAAGTCAAATTTTCACTTTTCTTCCATAAAATTAATATTTTTGGTAATTGAAGGTAACTGTGTCATATTTGTGTTTCCCAATTTCCTAACTACAGAAGAGTGGACTCCCATGATGTGCTGCTGCTGAAGGAATGGAGGAGGTACCTAAAATTAGAGACTACTTTGAGAAAGGAAAAAGGATATTACCTGCTTTTGCTTCCCAGGTATCTTGTAGCCTAAGATGTGAAGTACTGAAGAAAAGGTTTGGAGTTCCCCCAGTCAAACTTGTGAGCAGGGAACCCTGGGTCACAAAGTACCTCTCTCCCCAAAGTCTTTTAGCATAGGCAGACTTGGCAGAAATTATTTCTTCAGGTTGTGGAGATAAGTGATTAACCAGAGGTCACATCAGGTGCTACTGGTGTGTGGGAGGGAGGTGACTGCCAAAGGCGAATAGGACAGAAGGCCTTAGAAGGGGTCTTAGGAATAGGAGAAGGTCCTTCCCACCCTGTTCCTCAGAGCAGGTCCCACCACAGCAACAGGCTGAAGGCAGTGAATCACCAAGAGCTGCACACACAGCTCTTGTGTTGCAACAACTCTCATAGAGAACTTTCGCAGGACCATCAATGTGACTTGAAAAAAATACAGTTCATGTGTCTAAAAATGCTAGTGTTTAATGAAAAACCCATCCTCTCTTCCCTGTCCTGTGAACTACAGGAAAAATACCACAAGCTTGGAGCCTTCAAGTGCTCTCAGCATCCTTTCTTGAATAAATTGCTGGCTTTCAGGGCTTTACTGCCTCAGTTTCTCCTCCCTCAGTGCTGGGAGAAAGCTGTGTAAATCTCCCTGGCTTTAGAGGCAGAACCAGTATAACTTTTTATTTACAAAAGGTCACAGGGTGTAAATACTTTCCATGTGCTACAGTGATTACTAACCTAATCAAGCTCCCTTGGTGCAAGCCTCAAGGGCTTCTGTTATGAAAGGGCTGGAGTAAGCTGTCATTTCGTGGTGGGAGATGGCATTGTTTCCATGTCACCCCTTTGTGCAGGAAACAAAGGGAAGTATTAAAACGGAATGGACCCATTCCACAAAGAGAGGTAGTGACCTTGGGCTCCTTCTGTTTAATTCAACCACCTACTTTTCACCCTGGTGATGACAGGCAAGTTCTAGTAATTCCCTGTCTAGTGCTCACAAGGGAAAGGAGATCCCAAGAGCTTGCAGCTTAACATGTTCACACCTGCACCATGCCTGCAGCCCGGGACTGCCCAGCCACTGCCACTTCTATCTGCAAAACTTCAGGAAATGAACAACTTTACATCAGTTTTTGAAGTCCAGCACCTGGCAGGTACTCTCTGACTAGGACCTCTAGCTAGACCTATCTAGCTTTGTTATTTTCCGCCTAAGCCAAAAATATTTGTTCTGCTGCCAGCCAAAGTTCTCTAAACAGACAGTGCTCTTCACCTCAGAAACAGCTACCTCACTACACGTGTGTGCACTGGAACACACGGACCCATGGGACCTGCAGGGATGTATTTTAGCAAGAAGTTATTTGACCAACTTTTCAGCTATCTTGCATTTTGTGAAAATCCAAAAGCTATACCAAACCCCTCCTATTCCAAAACGTGCTAAGGTGACCACTGTGAACTTGTTTGGAGGCAATGGAAGGCAGGCAACAGGGAAGATGACATCAGGCATAGCGTTCCCTACAAGAGGGTAGCATCATTCAGCTGAGTCTCCTGCATGCCCAAAAGCCACCAAGTACCTAAGAGACCTGGGGAGCAGCAGCCGCTTGGCAAATTGCTGATTGTGTCTCCTGCACATCCATCAGCTGTACCCCTTAGCTTGTTTCATGGTCTGACAAATGAGATTAGCCCTGTGGATAAGTAGTGTTTTTGGAGGAGCCTGACTCCTGGGAAGCTTTATATAAGCAGGTGATGGACGGGCAGTCTCTAGACTTAGCCCCAGTATGGCATTTAGCAAATCTGCTCAGCATCCCTGCAAAGAGACCTTGCATGGTGTCAGGGGAAAGGTTAACTGCTGCTGAAATCCAACTCGTAGCTTTAGGTTTATTTCACTTATTAAAATACACTGGAGATAGATGAACCTTTTTTTGCTCTGTATTTGTTGCTTGCCTAGACATTTATCATCATGCTGTGAACAGGTATATATGACATTGATAGGTGTATCTAGATGGGCTCCTATGCCTATATCTCTTAAGCCCTAATGTCATTTGGTAGTAATGCTTTTTGGTAACATTTTGCACTGACTTGAAAGAACAGAAGATAAAGTATGAAATATGGTTCTAATCCTGGCTGTTGAGCTTCGTGACAGCCTTTATGATCTCCAGGTAAGTCCCTTCTTGTGCCTTGGGAAAATTAGATTCAGAGCAGGAAACTCAGGGCTAGAACTACTACTGCCTTTTAAAGAGTCAACCAAGGCTATGCAAAAAAAAGACCAAAAAGCACCTTAGCCTTCCTCTTCCCTCCTGAAGGAGATCCATGTTCCAGTGAGAGCACACCTACGTGGTTTTAGTTAGGCTGGGGGAGGTCTTACAGTCCTTTCCTTGCTGCTTATCCAATTTCCAGGTATTTTGTGCTCATCCTCTCTCTGTACCATGGAAGTGCCATTAGATAACACCACAAAGCATCAATACTTGGAACCTCAGCTTACAACGTGCCAGTGTACTAATTCACTAGTCAAAAGAAGGAAATTGAATTCAAAGATCTCTGATTATCCCATGAAGAAATAGGAAAATGGGGCTGATGGATGAAGACTGGAGGACTGTGCTTCAAGAGAAGTACTAGCTCTGAGCGCTAATCCCTTCTGCTGCTTCTAGGAGTGACTTAGAATAGTTTACTTCATTCCCCTTACTCAGTTTCCAAAACTTTTAGTGAAGACTGAATTTTTTGAACAGAGAGAAAACCAAGTATTAGTTTTTGTTGCATAGAATAATCAGCAGTACCAGTCTGGCAAGGGACTGGCTATCTCTGCCGTTAGACACAGGCTCCCTTTCTATCTGCCAGTACAGGATCTGGTTTGGCTGGAGTTAATTTTCCTCATAGCAGCCTGTATGGTGCTGTGTTTTAGACTGGTGACCAAAACAGTGCTGATAATACACAACAATGTTTTAGTTTTTATTGTACTTGCATAGCGTCAAGGCCTTCTCCATCTCTCATGTAGTTGCCTCAGCGAGTAGGCTAGGGTTGGGTGAGGTATCGGGAGGAGACACATCCAAGACAGCTGACTCAAACTGACCAAAGAGCTATCCCATACCATATAACATCACACTCAGCAATAAAACTGGGGAGGAGTTTTTCCACAGTAGATGTTGCTCGGAGATTGGCTGAGCATCACTCTGCAGGTGGTGAGTGACTGCCTTTACATTACTTGGGTTTGGTTTTTTTTTTTAATTTTCTTTTCCTCCACTTATTAAGCTGCCTTTGTATTGACCCATAAGTTCTTCTCACTTTTGCCCTTCTGATTCTTTCCCCCACCCATTTTGGGAGGGAAGGAGTGAGTGACTGGGTAGGGGCTTAGCTGCCAGGCAGGGTGAACCCACCACACTGTCCTCAGCAAAGCAGGGTCTGCAGTGTCTTTGGTTGGTGTTCTTCACCACTTGCACTCTGGTCACAACTGTGCGATAGGATCTGCCCTGCTCACATTTCAGATCTTAAGAGCTTTACTGAACAGCTATGGGCTAGAATTGTTTGTAGAACTGGTCAAGCAGAATGCAAACTGTTGACGATCAACATACAAGCAGCAGAAGAAACTGAACCTCATTAATGTTTGGGCTAAATTAATTTTGAATGATCAATCTGGCTCCAGTTTTAATATTTTATGTCGCTGCATTAGATGGCTGAAGAGTATAAGGAGGTCTGGTATGGAGGTCCAGTTTACCTTGAGACTTAAGGGCTGAAATCCAGTGCAATTATTCCAGGTTTATGGATGTTTTCCATATGTCCACTGTTCTGTTACTCACTGGAAGTGCCTTCAGAAGCCTGTAAGAATAAAAACCTGTTACAAGCTACTACCTCTCTAACTGAGTCTAATTAAGTTTCAAGTTGAGCTGCATTTTAGCTTAGAGCTGACGAAAAGCAACATATAAATTTGCAGATAACAATGCAGTTTTTGTGGTGTAGGGGGTTGTTTTGTTTTCTCTAGTATTACCCAAGGAAACCCAAGCTGGTTGTGTGTGATGTACAACAGAAAACATGACTGAGTTTCAAGGTTGGGTTTTGCATAAGCGCTCATCTATCAATTATCTGTCAACTGTCCATTGCAATGACTGATGTCTCTCATTTTTCTGGGATTTATGTGAAAGAAGTGTCTGGATGAGACATTGCTACTGTACAGGGTTAAAATCAGTTCTAAAACCAACCAACCAAGGAAGGAAAAAAGGAAAAGGAGCATTGAAAGCTTATATGTAACCTGATACATGTAATAAAAGAAGGATATTGCAAAATCAGGACTGTTCCTAGGCAGAAAGATTTTGGAGTCTGCAAGTCAGTAGGAATGTGTTCAGGGTCATTTTTCAGAGAAGGGTGGAAAAAAAAGTGTGAACAAATTTACTGATTGTAAACATGCTTTTTCCTGCAGTCTCTGTGACCCAAGCTTTCTTACCTCGGGCTGTGGGCTGATTACAGACAGAAGTGTCCTGGCCTAATCTGTTCCCACTGCTCAAACTGAGAGAAGTGGGAAGAAGAAAACACCCATCTGAAGATCAAGTTGAGACAAGTCTTCCTAGTTTTAAAATGCCTTAGTTTTAGCCAATTTTAATGTAGGTCGGCATGCTGGTATCATAATGCTCTTCTTGCATTTGAAATGTTTTTAGATGAATCAGTGTTAGAAGCACTTTGAGCAGTTTTTGTGAATTCTGATCCTACTGACAATTCCTGGATCACCCTCGAGGACATCCAGCTTATTTTCTGTAGCAGAGATGCTTGTTTTCTCTTAAATACAGAGTCGGACCCAAAGCCTACATGTAGTCACCACCTGATCCAAGGGTATTACTAACATTAGTTCTGACTTTCCTGGGCTAAGCCAACACAATTTAGATAGCTATTACAAGTTT